GCCAAGATCCATCATAAAATGATATCCTTCCTTCACATCTCCATCTGAATCCGGCCCAAACCTCTGGCAGCATCCTCTGGCTCCCTCTGGCAGCCGTTATTGAATTATCTTTAGCAAAATTTTACTTACGTGTGATATTAATGATATTGTCCAATGATTGCCGCGTTCCATTGGGTCACTTCTCTTTGGAATGGGCACAAATACGGATCTCTTCTAATCGGTTGACCAGGTAGCTGTCTTCCAAACTACTTGAGATGGATGAGTGAGTGCTTCCAGTGCCACATCAGTTTGTTGAAAAGATTTCAATTTGTATTCCATCAACTCCCGGAGCTTTGTTCAATTTGTATTCCATCAATTCCTGAAGCCAATGCCTTCAGTGCACCTTTGACGTCTTTCTTCAGTATCATTGGCACTTGATCATATACTACCTCTTGAAATGGTTGAACATTGACCATTTCTTTTTGGCACAGGGACTCTGTTTATTCCTTTTATCTTCTTTAGATGCTTTCTGCACCCTTCAATATTTTGCCCATAGAATCATTCAGTATTGCAAATTGAGGCTTGATTTTTTTCTTTGGTTCCCTCAGCTTGAGAAATGCTGAGCATGTTCTTCCCTTTTGGTTTTCTAACTCCAGGTATTTGCAAATTTCATTGTAATATTTGACTTTGTCTTCTCGAGCTGCTTTTGAAATTTTCTATTTAGCTCTTTTACTTTCTCATTTCTTCCATTTGCTTTAGCATCTCTATTCTGGAGAGCAAGTTTCAGAGTCTCGTCTGACATTCATTTTGGTCTGTTCCTTCTTCTTGTCTTCTTAATGAACTTTTGCTTTCTTCCTGTAGTTCTTAATGTCATCCCACAACTCTCCTGGTCTTCAGTCTTTAGTGTCTAATGCATGAAATCTGTTCTTGAGATGATCTCTAAATTCAGGTGGGATATGTTCAAGGTCATATTTTGGCTCTCATGGACTTGTTTTAGTTTTCTTCAGCTTCACCCTGAACTTGTATGTAAACAATTTATGGTCTGGTCCACAGTCTGTCCCTGACCTTGTTTTGGCAGATGATACTGAGCTTTTTCACTGTCTCTTCCAACAAATGTAGTCAATCTGACTTCTGCATATTCCATCTGCTGGAAGTCTAGGTGTATAGTTGTGTTTTATGTTGCCTAAAAAAGGTATTTGCAATGAAGAAGTTATTGGTCTTACAAAATTCTATTATTGAATCTCTAATATCATTTCTTTCACCAAGGTCATATTTCCAAAAACTGATCCTTCTTGTTTCCAACCTTTGCATTCCAATCACTAGTAATTATCAATATATCTTGATTGCATGTTTGATCAATTTCAGACTGAAGAAGTTGGTAGAGTTTTTCAATTTCATCATCACTGGATTTAGTATTTGGTGTGTGAATTTGATTAATAACTGTATTAACCAATCTTCCATGTAGGAATATGTATATTATCCTGTCACAAGTTGTACTTCAAGACACACATTTTTGACGAGGAATGCGACACCATTCCTCTTCAGTCTGTCTTTCCCAGCATAGTAAACCATGTGCTTGTCAGATTCAAAATGGCCAATAGCAACCAGTTCATTTCAGGTCACTAATGCCTAGGATAGATATTTATGAAACATTTGCACAGAATGGCATTGCTAGGCATACTAGAACTCCTACCTGGACTTGAGTAAGGTTTGGTTTCCTATTCTGTTTTTTAAAATGGTGGTGTTTAGTAATGTCATGACAGAAAGAGAACGCTTCCGTTAAGCAGAGCAGTGGTATCCTTCATGACTTGCATGTGAGCAGGAGATTGGTGTCTTGGCATGTTTGGGCACTTTAGGTAGAATAAGTTTTCACGGTCAGCTCATCTCTGCCCCTCCCAATGTAGTATTTTTCATGCATTAGCATGCTTAGCCTTCTCAGTAAGTCTTTGAGGGCTAGGTGATAGCATTCACATTTTAAAGTTGAGGAAGCAGACTAAAAGAGGCTAAGTAACTTGCCCGGTTCCATAACTGAGCCGAGTGTAAGCAGACTCCTAACTCATGAGCCCAGGAACTTTGTCCATGGGTGTGTGTGCACTGACAGTGTCCTTACTAGAAAGTGAAGTCTGTCTGGTGCCTCCAAAGGCTTTGGATAAAATGTCACTTACTGTATTTGTGCCTCTTCCTGCAACTTGACTTTCAGTGATGGATGTAAGTAGCTTTTTCTGAGGAAATAAAATGCTAAACCACGTATTATAAAAGTCTGTTTTGAAATGATCTTTTGAAACTGCTGACCATGTCCTTCTTGAAAGCTCCTTCAGTGGACCATTGTGGGGGAAGGCTGGCCAGCGAAATATAACTTCTGGGGAGTTTGGCTGGATAGCAAAAGGACCAGGCCCTCAGTGGCACTTTAATGACTTGTTTCCCTTGCATCCTCCTTGGAGAAAATGAAGTCAGACTATCCATGGGTGCCACCCAGGGATTATGGCTCCTTCTGTGTTCATTCGGTCCTGAACTGTAAGGCGTTTGGAATCTTACGCATGCCTGCAGGGTTCAGATATTTAGGCAGACATTGTACGCGATATTTGGGGCTCTCACTCTGTTGTTTTTCCCTTTGTGGAATGTCCTCCCTTGCTTTCTAGCTGCTGTAGTTGTCTCCTCCTGCCCTAGGCTATAAGAATGCCAGTTTCTCCCTATTAGTTACCCAACTGGACATGAACCGGTGCCTGTCCTCCAACTGAAAGCTGTAAGACTGTGAAGCTCACCAGTGCCATGCCTTGCTCCTCTTCCTGGTGTCATACTTTACCTCCAGTGTCTGCCTTCCTTTGTTCACTTTGTATTGCCTTCGGGTCATTTGTTATTCTTATGTTTTGCCCCGAGTTTATAGCTATCTGTATTTGTGATATGGGAGAGGGAGGTATGGAAAGAGCTGCTCAGCCATTTTTAGAAGTGGAATCTTAGAAGGCAGGAAAGCCTAAGAAAGAAGGTTGAATGGAAATCATATCAACACAAGAAGAATGCGAGAAGAGTGCTGTTACATTGTGAAGATTGCAGTCAATGTCACGAATCAAACATGTAGGAATTGTTGAATGGAAAACCTGTTTGCTCAGTAAGATTTCACCCAAATCGCAATAGAAGGCTTAAAAAAATTAAGATGTAGAATCTTAAAGTGCTGTCTTTTTGTGTAGCAGATTCTGTGCAGATTTATCACCTTTCATGTTAAAATTAGACACAAAACACTAAAATGTTTGGTGCTGACACAGAATCATAACTCACTGTTGGCTTTCTTACTTCTGCCTATTTTTGTTCCTGCAGTCTTTCCCCACCAAATCAATTGTCACTGAGTCAATTCCAATTTCTGGTGACCCTATGTGTCATAGAAGAACTATTCCTTAGGGTTTTCGAAGGCTAATTTTTCCAAGTAGATTGCTAGGTGTTTTTTCCAAGGCATCTCCATTGTTATTGTTAAGTGCCATTGAGTTGGTGCCAACTTATAGCGACGCTATACATAACACAATGAATGAAACACTGCCTGGTCCTGCGCCATACTCACAATTGTTACATTTGAGCTCCTTGTTGCTTCCACTGTGTCAGTGCATCTTGCTGGGGGTCTTCCTCTTTTTGATGATGACTCTCCACTGTACCATACATGATGTCCATCTCTAGGAACTGCTTCCTCTTGGAAACATGTCCAAAGTACAAGAGATGGAGTCTCGCTGACCTCACTTCTAAGGAGCATTCTAGCTGTATTTCTTCTGAGATAGATTTGTGTGTTCTTCTGGCAGTACATGGTACTTTTGATATTCTTTTCCAACACCATAATTCAAATGCATTGATTTTTCAGCAATCTTCCTTATTCACTGTCCAGTTTTCACATGCATATGAGGTGATTGCAAATACCATGGCCTGGGTGAAGTGCACTGCTCTGTCAGCCACCTTTGGTGGTGGTGGTAGTGTGCCTTGGAGGCAATTCTGACTCACAGCGACCCTGCAGAGGGCTTCTGAGGCTATAAACCTTTACGGGAGCAGAAAGCCTCATCTTTCTCCCATGGAACAGCTGCTAGTCAGACCTCCAGCCTTTCTGTTAACAGCCAAACACATCAACTGGTTGCACCACCCTGAGACTCCCATTTTCCCATCCGAATCGTTCCTCAGTTCAGTAATTGTTCAGGAATGATTTATTGAGCCCTTCCTCTTTGCAAGGCACTATGCGAGGTACTCTGTCTTTTGAAATCTTGTTCAAAGTTCACATTAAATGTAAACACCTCCTCCCCAATACCCATGCTAATATCTTTTTACTCACTGCCTTTGATACTTTACTCTGCCTTATCGTATTTTATTTATCATTATACTTGCTTTTTCCCACCAGTCTCCCCCCCACACTAGATTATAAAACTTCACTACATCAGAGACATAGTTTCATTCATGTTTACGCCCATCTTTTACCATGCTGTCTTACTCATGCTTTTTAAAGTCAAGGACTGAACAGATACATAGAAGTCTTTGTAGTTGAAAGGAAAGGAAATAAATGTAGGTCAGTGGGCTTCCTGTCTCTGTGCTCTGCAGGGGAGCAGGACATCAGGTAATAAAACATTCTTTGTTTCTAGAGGACATCTTAATGAGACTTCATTTTTTTTTCTCCCCCTCCTCCTCTTTGCTGTCCTCTCCCTTGACCTATGGGACACCTTGTTCTTCACTTGGTTACAGTGTAGTAGGGAACTTTCCCTTCACCTTTGAAAATTCAGGTCCCAGACAGATACAAACAGACCAGTGCTGTCCCTAAAATGAATGGGAGAATAACTCAAACATGTGATTCTTCTTTTGCTGATTCTTCCTTAATTTGTAAAATATTGTAATAAAATGTCATAGGTTGAATTCTCAGTAACAGTTTTTCTCTTTGAACCCTAGTATATGCATGTTTCTCTTTGAGCCCTAGTAACGCTTACTATAAGCTGGGAATGATAGAAATAAGGTTAAGTGACTATTAATTACTAGGTCTTCTCATGATCTCCCTTCTTCCTCAGATTCGGGTCAGAAGACGTTTAAAAGGAGGCGGTCTATCATAAACTGGGCTTTCTGGCGAGGTTCTAGCACTCACCTGGACAACTTACCCTTGTCACCAACATCTCCTATGCTGGGCCAGCTCTTTGGTGTTTCTCTGCCAAATATTTGTGAGAATGACAATCTGCCCAAACCTGTCTTGGTAAGTCTTACTGGTCTTTAACACTGATGGGAAAGGAACTTTGGAAAGGAAGGATGCCTGGGAGGGAAATCTATCCCCAAATGGAAAAATCATAGACACCCCCTGGTGTTGGCTGAGAATCTTTTAAAATGATTACTTCAAAGAGTAAAATCTGATTTAGCTATTACAGAATCATAGGGCAGATATAATAGGAAGAGATAATCTAGTCTATTGGTTTCAGGAAAGAGTCTGCTCAAATAAATTAGAATTTTCTCTGTAGACGAAGAATCCGTATTATCCCTCACATTTCTCTTAAATCCTTTCTTGAACCCCGCACTATTCTGAAAGTCTCCTTTAATTACTTTAGCAACAAAAGCTACTCAGTCTTAGACTTTATTTACTCCATTTCACAAGGACACATCCATAGGCATATCAAGAGTGTACATATAGATAATGTCAGATGAGACCACTGATTTTGTGTGGTCTCCAATTGATGTATTAAATGGTCAGTGTTACCAACATTTACTTGAGTATCCAGGATCTTGGAAACACTGTACTAAATGTACAGCATTGTATACTATATTGTACATCTATAAGTGCCAGAGACTAGTTTAGACCCTTCCTTGCTTCTCCTTTACAACATATTTAGGGGTGGTTGTTATTATCATCATCCTTACTTGACAAATAAGACTCAGAACATTACCTAAGGTCACATGACAAATCCCTTGGTTTGCTCTTCTGAAAGCAGAGGACACAGAGATAAAGAGCAAGCAAAATGAAAGATTAATCAGAATGAACTCTAACTGGAGAATGCTTCCTGAAGGATATGACTGTTGAACCCAGGAATAAAATATGTAGTTCTTGAAAGGGAAGGACAAGCAAGCAGAGAACGATATGGCAAGAATGCTCGGATTTCCTATTTGGAGACGAGAGTCCATATTAGAGAATAGTGATGGCAAAAGATGGCAGGAACCTTGAAGCAGTCAGAGAAATTTGATTTTAAAGTGGCGGTTGGTTCATTGAACAAAGGTACATATTTTGAAAGCAAGTGTTGAAGGTAAAATGTCTTAGTTGTCAAATAAATTGGAGAGAAGGGATTTAGAAACACTAAAACAATTTTTAAAATAATAAAATCACTTTAGTCCTTCCAGCAACGGCCCACTCTTCACCAGCTCTTCAATGCTTTTACCTGACGGTGACCTCGCCAGGGTCCTGGTGTGGCGCTGTGGGTTAATGCGCGGGACTACAAAGTCTATTTTCACTGCAAAGCTGGTGGTTCAAGCTTGCCAACCACTCCTCAGAAACCCTATACAGGGCTGCTATGGATCAGAACTGACTCCATGGCACTTAACAACAACAAAACCCTCACCTCTGGTAATCAGAAGGGCAAGTGTGTGTTCTCTTGCTTATATGTGTGAGGTGCCATTTTGTCTTGTTTTGTTTTTCTTTGCTTTCCCCATAGGACATGCTTTTCTTTCTTAATCAAAAAGGGCCCCTCACAAAAGGCATCTTCAGACAGTCGGCCAATGTGAAATCCTGCAGAGAGCTAAAAGAGAAACTGAACTCCGGAGTCGAAGTACACCTAGACTGTGAATCTATTTTTGTGATAGCATCTGTGTTAAAGGTAGGAAACATTCTCCTTTCAGCCACCTCACGGTGTAGCTCAGAAGCAAGACCACTGGTTTCCTGCATTTTGAGCATTATTCCCATCAGTTAAGAGTCATGATAGATTTAGAATCTGAAAAAGTATAAAAACACTTCACAAAGTCAACATTGGACTTTGAAAGCCATCACCAATAATGTAGCATGTCAGATATACTTTTTAAAATGTTCTTCCCACCTCATATTCTCCTGGCAAGCTGCAAAACTATAAGTAAATTTTAAAAAATTGAAACACATACAGCATGTTTATTTAAAAAAAACAAACAAACACAAACACGCTGCTTTTGAAGACTTTGTCACTAGTAACAGTTTCAAAAGTAAACTTTTATTAAACTTTTAAAATCATGGTAGAAGTTTATCACACTAAACAAACATTTGCCTTAAAGCTGAAAACAAAACAAAAAAATTGCTCACTAAGTTGGCTGAAAATTCCATTCATTCATTCAACATAATCATGTCCACCTATATCCCTTCCCCTGCCTGCTCATGCCATTTATTGTAAAGTAGAATGGGAATGCCTCCAACATCTGGGATTTCTTTTACCTTTAGCACATTTGGCATTCTTTCGTAACTCTGGTGGGCGAGGAGGGATAAGAACCACAAGATTAATAAAGTCACGTATATAGTTAACAGCATTGCTCTTCTAAAATGTCATCCTTCCTACATTCTTGGCAGTGCCTCAATTTGGGGAAACCTAGAGTCAAAAGCAGTTTTTAGCCGAGTTTTTGACCCCAGCAGTTGCTCCTGCAGACTTGCCTTGGGCTCCAGTCTCCCAGGATGGGAGATGTACTAGAGCCAGGGGTAGAGTAACGGCTTAGCCTTTATCCCAGAGCCTGAAGCTGTAAAACTAAATTCAGAGACACACAAACAAGGCTTGAACACTCTTACTCCAGCCCAGTAACCAGCTTCTCACAGATCTTACACCATGAGTTTTAGAACGGTCAGATGTTTCCAGGTAAATACGCCATGTCTTCAACAGCTGCTACTGTAGACGTTTGCAATAAAATATCACTCAGAAGAACTGGCGAGCACATCTAATCTATGTTGCATTGGGATTGTAACTATACTCAAATCCTGGAATGCAATAAAGACATGATAGTGTACTTAACCAGATATGTATGCCAGGGATACATATGCCCAGTGAAGTTTTCTTTGTTGTGTATGTTTTGTTTTGTCTTTCCATCAGAGAGCTTCTTCCACTCCCCACCCCGCACCATCTCTTAATTTAAGAAGTAAAAGCTTACATTTTAGAAAATGTACTGTGCTCTCATGTATGCCATACTTGTTAAGATTTTGTGCTAAATTACTAAGGTTATTATTTTAAAACAACAACAATGTGGTTTTAGAAGAGTTAAATTGTGTTCCAAATTACAGAAATAATACTTATCCAGAAATAACTTAAGAACAAAAAAGACCCAGATGATGGAAGGGATGGGTGAAATGATCGGTTTCAAGTAGCTGAAATTGTATCATAGTCTTGCTGTGGGTTTCTTCCCATTTCTGCCACGTGGCTGCTGAAACAGAAATGTTTTCTGAGCTTTGTTCCGTTTTTTTAGCTTTTGTTTTGCTTTGTGTCTTGTTTTAAGACAATTTTGACGTGGCACAGAAGGCTGCCTTTAAATTTTCACTTATGGTGGATTTGCTTAAATACAAGCTTAACTCTCCCAAACTGCAACTGTAAGAAAATGACTTTAGACTCTGTAACTTTGATCCAGCAAGTCTTTGAGGAGAAGTTCCTATTTAATCCTGCAGGAATCACATCTCAAATGAATTTGGGAGTTCTGTGGATTTGCTTAAATACAAGCTTAACTCTCCCAAACTGCAACTGTAAGAAAATGACTTTAGACTCTGTAACTTTGATCCAGCAAGTCTTTGAGGAGAAGTTCCTATTTAATCCTGCAGGAATCACATCTCAAATGAATTTGGGAGTTCTGTAGATGACCTGGTTCTGGTATTGCAGGGGAGAGATTTGCAGTTAAGTCCTGTGAGTTGGTGATTGTAATTCTGAACCAACTCTCCCTTCCTTCCTTTCTTAGTTGTGATGGTGGTTGTATTTCGTAACTTGTTATTGCAGCTGTGGGAGAGTTCATTGAGATGTTACGAGTCATTATCTTTCAAGTGTAGGTTTGAGATTTAATGATGTTTTTCTTCAAGGCAGATCATAAGTCTGTTTTCCACCAAGATTCAAAAAGGGAGCTATTGTCACCACCCCAGTGTGAAATAACAGATTTTGCTTCTTCTAAATCTGACTTTTAAAGTGGGTGCAGCAGTTAAAATTAGTTCGGAATTATGAAAATTCAGTAGATTTACCCCAAAAGAGAGGTAACTTATGTGATGATATATCTGAATCACAAGCATCCAGGTACATTTCTACTGAAAGATATAATAGGAGAGAGAAAGAATTTGAATCAGACCATCTTCCTACTTGTTAAAAATATTTGGTAATAGAGTGATGTGACTGCATAGAGGCTTTGGGTGTTTTTTTGTATTTTTTCAGCTGTCTTAGAATCTGGACCTATGTTGTGGCTCTGTACGATTAGTAATGGACTGCGAACCACAAGGTCAACAGTTCAAACCCACCTGCCGCTCCTTAGAAACCCTATACAGGAGCGCTCTGAGTAGGAACTGACTCAGCGGCACTTAGAGTAACCTTAGAATCTCAGTTCCAGTTGGCCTTCTCCTGGCCCTCATTAACATCTGGATTTATGATAAAGAGCAACAGGTCAGCAATGACTTAGGCTATATATTTACTCTACTCTGACTGGCTTCATGCTTGGCTATTGAGGTATACACAGATGAAGATTAGGGTATGTCTCGGTCCTGGATAAGCTGACAAGCAAGTAGGGGAGATGCACACATCATCAGCTAACTGTAGCAATAAGTTGTCAAAGCTTCAGTATTAATAATATAAACTCAGTATAAAAGTATCAAAGCATGTGTTGCCTTTTGTAAGGCACACAGCTGAAGTTGTTGGTTTGGTTTTTCAGCAAGGGTTAATGTTGCCCAATTGCTAACTTTTGCCTATCTCCATGTTGTAAACAGGAACTTGGAAGAGAGTAGCCAATCATGGGTCAATACTTAGACATAAAATTGGCTTTAATAACCTTGCTGAAGATTGGACTTTGAATCTTTGGCCTTGTTAATATCATACCAAAAGCCACATACAGAGTTGCCATCGATTTGAAATGAATGTAGAATTAGATCCAAACTGAGTTTACTCTTAAGCTTTTTGTAAGCAAAGATCAAACAACAAACATTCTTGGTCATACCCTGTTTGTGTCATAGTCTGGTTTCACCACACTCAGCCCAGCCAGTGGTCTCCATAGAAAAGCATTCTTAAAGGCCAGAGAGGGTAAGCATGTATTGTGACTATGTTGTATAGGGTCCATCAGGCATAAGGGTGCTGCCCAAGCTCCCAGAGTCCAACCAGTGTATGGAATGCTTTCTCCCTCCAAATATATGAGACCCCTTCTGTGGGAAAAAGGGAGAATCCTAAGAACCTTTGGTTTGAAGTTCTACACCAACGCTGCTGAATAACAGGGGATTTGTTTTAGTCACTGCTCTTTCCCTAGCAATTCATACAGTTGTCTGGTACATATGAGTAAATATGTACAGAATGACTGAATGAGTCATCGGCTGATTGTGAACTTCACAGACACCCTGGTGCATTTCTTGAATTCGCTATTACTAGAAGAAATGTTGAGCTCTTCAAGTGTAGCTAGTAGAAGCAGTTGTTGTTCTTAGGTCCCATCGAGTCAGTTCTAACTCCTGGCGACCCTATGCACACCAGAACGAAACACTGTCTGGTCCTGTACCATCCTCACAATTGTTGTTACACTTGAGCACATTTCTGCCGCCACTGTGCCAATCAGTCTCATTAGGGGTCTCCCTCCTTTTCAATGACCCTCCACTTTACCAAGCATGATGTCCTTCTCCAGGGACTGGCCCCTTCTGATGGTATGTCTAAAGTATGATATACAAAGTCTCGCCTTCCTGGCTTCTAGGGAGCATTCTGGCTTCTCTTCTTCCAAGACAAATTTGTCTCTCATTCTGGCAGTCCATGATACTTGCAATATTCTTCTCCCAATTCCATTACTCAAATGCATCCATTTTTCTACAGTCTTCTTTATTCGTTGACTAACTTTCACATGCATATGAGGCAATTGAAAATACCATGGCACGGATGACGTGGGTCAGGCGCACCTTAATCATCAAACTCACATCTTTGCTCAGGAACACTTTAAAAGAACTCTTGTGTAGCAGCTTCACCTAATGCAGAACATCGTTTGATTTCTTGACAGCTTTTTCAATGAGTATTAATGGTGGAGTCAAGCAAAATGAAATCTTTGACAATGTCAAGCTTTCCTCCATTTATCATGATGTTGTTTATTAGCCGTTTTGTGAAGATTTTTGTTTTCTTTACATTGAGGTGCAATCCATACTGAAGGCTGTGGTCTCTGATCTTCATCAGTAAATATTTTAAATCCTCTTCACTTCAAGCAAGCAAGGTTGTATGATCTGCATATCACAGGTTGTTAAATGAGTCATTCTCCAATCCTCATGCCACACTCTTCTTCATATAATTGAATTCTTGAATTATATTCTCAGTATATAGATTAAATAAGTATGGTGAAAGGATACAACCCTGGTGCACACCTTTCCTGAGTTTAAACCATTCAGTATCTTCTTGTTCTGTGCAAACCACCTCTTGGTATATGTACAGGTTACTGATAAGCACAATCAAGTTCTGGACTGCCTATTTGTCTCAATGTTGAAAGCATTTGCATAGTCAGTAAAGCAAGTCAACACCTTTTGGTACTCTCTGCTTTCAGCAAGATGCAAATGATGTCAGCAGTGACGTCCCTAGTTCACATCCTCTTCTGAGTCTGACTTGCATTTCTGGCAGCTACCTGTCAATGTACTGTTGCAGCCATTTCTGAATTATCTTCAACAAAAATTTACTTGCATGTCATATTAATGATACTGTTCGATAATTTCCACATTCCATTTGTTTCTCTCTCTTTGGAATGAACACAGATATGGATCTCTTACAGTCAGTTGGCCAGATAGCTGTCTTTCGAGTTCTTGGCATAGAGGAGTGAGTGCCTCCAGTGCTTCATCAGTTTGTTTGAAAGATTTCAATTTGTATTCTGACAATTCCTGGAGCCTTGTTTTTAGCCACTGCCTTCAGTGCAGCTTCAACTTCTTCCTTCAGTGCCATGCTACCTATTAAAATAGTTGAGCATAGACCATTTCCTTTTGGTACAGTGACTCTGTGTGTACCTTCTATCATCTTTTGATGTTTTCTGCATCCTTCAGTATTTTGCCACAGAATTCTTCAATATCACAAGTCGAGGCTTGAGCAACCATATCTCATCAAATGGGCAGCATTTGTTCAGGGATAAAGCTCAGAAGACTGGAAGGGACAGGAAAGAAGGATGAATGGAAACAGTAAACAGGGAGGAAGTAGGAAAAGTGCTATTACATGGTGGGGATTGCAATCAATGCCACAAATCAAAATGTGCATGAATAATTGAATGGAAAACCAATTTTCTCTGTACGCTTCCATCCAAATCACAATAAAAACTTAAAAAAAGAATCAGTAATACTTCAGCCCTATAAACTACATCAAGTTACCACTTAGTAAATCTGTGTCTTGGTAACCGAGTACTATAACCCCAGAAGTTCCTTGGTATCTGTCTTCCTTCTGTGTGTGTCCCTGTGTCCATTCTGTTCTTTTAGAAGCATCACTTTAGGACTTACTCTGTTCTAGTATGACTTCACTAACACAGCAAACAAAAAACTATTTCCAAACAGGATCCCATTCACAAGTAGAGTTAGCCTGGAATACATATTTTGGGGAGATAGGGAGTCCTGGTGTGGCACTGCAGGATAATGTGCTGGATGGCAAGGTCAGTTTGAACCACAAGGTTGGTGGTTCAAACCTACCAGCTGCTCCTCAGAAACCCTATACAGGGTTACTATGGTTCGGAACCTATTTGTTGGCACTTAACAACAACAACTATATTCAATCCATAACATCTTGTGTTTATACGTTTGTTATCCCAGAACTTTGGAGGCTTGAAGTTGTAACACACTTAAACAGTCTTTTTATTTTGAAGAGTGTATTTGTTCCAGTTCAAGGAGTTGTAAGGAAACATGTAGAGTAACCCACTGGGGATTTTAGAATCTATTCCAACAGCTGGACCCTTCAAGTCTGCAGAGTTGAGTTTGTATACCATTTAGAGAAAGGAATACAAAGCTGTCATTAGAGTTGGTTTTCTCCTAAGGAGTACACACCCTAAAATATAAGATTCAAAATTGTGTTGAGGGACGGGAGGAGTCTTTGTTGTTTGCTTTTCATTTTCAGTTTTTTCTTTCTAGGGATTTAATGTACTGTGGCTGAAATATAGAAGCAAAATATGTATTTCTGTGTGGAGAAGGGAAAGGTTTAGGATAGTTTACCCAAGAGTCCTGGGGTGGCACTGTGTTTAACGCAAAGTCGGTTTGAACCACAAGCTCGGTGGTTCAAGCTCACCAGCTACTCCCCGGAAGTCCTATCTATACAGGGTCACTACGGGTTGGAACTAACTCAACGGCACTTAACAACAACAACAACACTGCAAGGTCCTGTCACATTGTACTAGTTGGCTAAAATGTTGACAAGCAGGAAGCTTCAGCCCAAACAGATTGTCCTTTACCTTTCTCACCATAATGAGGACCCTGACTGTCAGTCACTCTGTTTTTTTGTGAGAAACATGAAAGCACATGCCTCTCAGTGTGTAAGGCAACTGGTGCAGAGCTCCATGGATCTAAAGAAAGCCAGCACTAACTTGTCAGCACAATGTTATCTCTCTGATTTCTCCAGTATATATCTGGCAGAAAGATAATGATTTAAATTCTGTGTTTTTCCCTCTCTGTAAGGATTTTCTACGAAATATTCCAGGAAGCATCTTCTCATCAGATCTCTATGACCATTGGGTCTGTGTAATGGACCAAGGCAATGATGAAGAGAAAATAAATACAGTTCAAAGGTAATGATTCTCCTTTGGTCACATCTCAAAATTAGTTTTGCTTTTTGTTTTTTGTTTTTTATTTTATAGACCTCTCTAGTAATGATAGCTATCAAAGTCATTTCCGTGAGGGCCAGCTTAAAAGTAGATCTGTATCTGTGTAGCTGCTATCACTGTAAGTTTTGTTTTTCCCCTCTAATCTTATTTGTATGGAATACCTAGCCTTCATGTGCAACTCCTGTAGATCAGAAACTGGTGGGAGTTGAAGTCTATTAGCTAATGTTGTAGGCCCAGTCTACAGTTTTATTATCTCAACTTTGGTAAGTACTTCACTGACCATACAACTCCTTATATCTCCTTATATATATTAACAGAACTAGACAGAGATAAAAGAACTATTTCCTCCCCTCACAGAACTTATAGTTTGGTAGCACAGAGAGGTTATATATACTGTGAGTTACGGCTGCATTATTGATCATCAGGGCTATTAAAAAGCTGAGCAGACAGCAGTCATTCATGGAGACGTGTTAAGGAAAAACAGAGAGTGGATTGCTAAGTCCCAGTCTGGTCAAAAGGGGCACATTGTGTACATGCCTGCTGGCTGGCAGAGCACTGCACCTCTCCTGAATAATCCCTCTATTATAAGAGAATCGGAAACAACTGTCTGTTACAATAGCTTCCCAAGCCGTCCTCCCAGGTCAGTTAAAACCTAAGAATCTCTTTATTTGCATGTGCTTGTTTAGAAGACTTTTCATAGCAACTTTGAAATGCGAGTTATTACCTACTCACTAGACACCAGAAACCAGGGCAATGTGACACAATGGTGCCCCTATTTCCATTTAGTAGCTTGACAGAAACTATTCCAATAGGGAGCATCAAATGATATCATCTGTTACACGTAATTCCAAACTGTGCATCCTACAAACTATCAAAGGGTGATATTTCTTAAAGGTAAAATTACTACTTTCACACAAATATGAAATGAACACGTACAGATTTTGTTTAAATCATTAATAGTGGGCCAGTAAGTTGCCACTGCCAGTTCAAAGGAGATCTTAAAGTACCACTCTTTCAGCAGTGCTGAAATGAATTTGTTGTTGTTGTTGTTGTTAAGTGCCGTGGAGTCGGTTCCGACTCATAGCGACCCTGTGCACAGGGTTTCTGAGGCTGTAAATCTGTACGGGAGCAGAATGCCTCATCTTTCTCCCGCGGAACCGCTGGTAGTTTCGAACTGCTGACCTTGCGGTTCACAGCCCGATTCGTAACCACTACGCTACCAGAGCTCCTTGAATTTAAATAGATGTAGAACTTGCTTTTTCAGCAAAGGGGTTAGATAAATAAAGAGTTCCTCCACTAGAAATAAATTTCAAGTCTATAGACGATTATCTACAACTTAGCTGAAAAACTCAAGGTTTCAAATCTCCATAGAATAAGGCAACTCATGCATAGCAACCCTATATAGGAATTCCAGGGAGTGACTTGTGGGTTTGAACCACCAACCTTTTGGTTAACAGTCCAGTGCATTATCCTACAGTGCCACACCAGAATAATATATATTTTTATATATTGCTGTTCAAACCAACTTTGCAGTCCAGCACATTAACCCACGGCACCATACCAGGACTTGCTCTCTCTCTTTCTGTCTCTCTGTCTATATATATATATAGTTGTTGTTAAGTGCCATCGAGTCAGTTCAGACCCATAGCGACCTTGTCTAGGGTTTCGAGGAGCAGCTGGTGAGCTTGAACCACCAGCCTTGCAGTTCAAACGGCTTTGCAGTCTGGCGAAGTGCCATTGAGTTAGTTCCGACCCATTGCAACCCTGTATAGGGTTTCCTAGGAGCAACTGGTGATCTTGAACTGCTGGCCTTTAAGTTCAAATTGATGTTGCAGTCCAGCACATTAGCCTATAGCACCACACCAGGACTATGTAAAAAATATATATATATCATTGTTGGTAAGTGCCATCGAATTGCTTTCAACTCATAGTGACCCTATATAGGATTTCCAAGGAGTGACTTGTGCTTTTGAACTACCAGTCTTTCGGTTAGCAGTTCAGTGCTTATCCTGCAGCACCACACAAAGAATACCACATATATATGAGAGTGGGTTTTTTGTAACATGTGGAAAATTCATCCGATTATCTTTCAGTTCCATTGTTCATGAACTTTTTGAAGTCTCCCCATATATGAGATAAGTAAAAAAAAAAAAAAGAGATTCCAGTTCAAACACACATGGGTTTATTCCAAACAAACCATATTTAAATATGTCCCTTTGATCTGTGGGTGACTGCATACAAGTTCTCTCAGGAATATACTTGTTTTAGTCCCATTCGGGTGCTTTCAAAAAAAGGATACTATTTTTTGTCCTGTGGAAAAAAAAAGTGTTTTAAAATCAAGACTAATATCAATTTTTTAATAAACCTCAAGTGGACATCTTCCCAAATCATTAAAGCAACAAGTTCTTGGCAATGATGCCCAACATAAAACCACAGTTTTTTAAGGAAGGTCAGGAAGACCTCAAAGATGAACCAAAATAAGGGAAAATTGTAAACATCAATGAATGAAAAACTGTGGTTGAAGTCCAGAAATTGGTGGAAGAATTAACATTGATGTGCGTGCGTGGTTTTGCATTTTTAACTTTAAGTAAGCATCTTGGCCTTAACAAACTCTCAGCTTATGGATGCCAAAAACTTTGCAGGAAGATCAGCTAGCTAGCTCAAACAGGTGCTCTTTCCACCAGTCTTTTAAGCAAGGTCGAAGCTAATGAAGACGTTATGAAGCAAATCATAACCGAGAAGAGATCTTGCATATATCAGTATGATCCAGGAAGCACGATCCAGTAGTGGCTTCTAAAAGGCTCTGCCAGGTCAGTTAAATTCAATGCAGAGAGGTCAGCTCAGAAAATTATAGAGACCGTTTTTAGGGACTTCAAAGGGGTAATCTTGGAAGACAGCCACCTGGACAGCTAATTGGAAGAGATCTGTATTTGTGCCCATTCCAAAGAGAGGTGACCCAAAGAAATACAGGAATCATTGGACAATATCATTAATACCATGTGCAAGTAAATTTTTGCTAAACATAAATAAAAAGCAATTGCAGCAGTACATTGACAAGGAACTGCGAGAGGTTCAAGCTGGTTCAGATAAGGACGTGGAACCAGGAATATCATTGTGGATGTCTGATGGATTTTGGCTGAAAGCAGAGAATACCAGAAGGATGTTTACCTATGCTTTATTGACTATGCAAAGGCTTTCAATTTTGTGAGTCATGACAAGCTATGGACAGCATTGCAGAGAATGAGTATTCCAAAACACTTAATTGTTCTCATGAGAACATACATAAATCAAGAGGCAGTTGTTTGAACAGAACAAGGGAACACTGAATTATTTAAAATTATCAAAGGTGTGCATCAGGGTTGTTTTCTTTTACCATACTTATTCAATCTATATGCTGAGTACATAATCCGAGAAACTGGATTAAATGAAGAAAAATGTGGAATCAGGATTGGAGGAAGACTCCTTAATAACCTGTGATATGCAGATGATACAATCTTGCTTGCTGAAAATGAGGAGGACTTAAAATACTTATTGGTGAAAATCAAAGACCACAACCTTTGGTATGAGTTGCACCTCAATGTAAAGAAGATGAAATTCTCACCACTAGACAAATAAATGGCATTCATATATATGGAGAAAAGATTGAAGTTGTCAAAGACTTCATTTTGCTCAAATCAGCTGTCAACACTTATGGAAGCAGCAGTCAAGAATTTTAACGACATATTGCGTTAGGCAAATCTGCTGCACAAGACCTCTTTTACAGTGCTGAAGAGTAAAGAAGCCACTTTGAGGACTAAGGTACGCCTGACCCAAGCCATGGTATTTTCAGTAACCTCATATGCATGTGAAAGTTGGACAGTGAATAAGGAAAATCATAGAAGAATTGATGTATTTCAGTTATGGTGTTGGAAGAGAATATTAACAGTACCATGGACTGTCAAAAGAATAAACCAATCTGTGTAGGAAATACCACAAGAATGCTTCTTGGAAGCCAGGATGACAAGACTTTGTCTCTCATACTTCAGACATGTTGTCAGGAGGGACCAGCCCCTGGAGAAGGATATCATGATTGGCAAAGTGGAGCATTGGAGAAACAGAGGAAGACCCCTAACTAGGTAGATTGGCACAGTGGCAGCAGCAATGGGCTCAAATGTAGCAACAATTGTGAGGTTGGCACAGGACTGGGCAGTGTTTTGTTCTGTTGTGCATAGGGTCACTATGAGTTGGTACCAACTCTATGACACCTAACAACAACAGCATGGAGGTGATAACTACATCTCAACTGTCAAACAACTCAGAGCCTGGCTTATCCAAGTTGTCACAAAACCTTAACTGCCGTACCCCTCTTATCTGTGTTTTCTGCATGGTAGAAAAATTCACTTCAGTGAACTAAAATGAAAAATCCCTTGTTCAATATAAAGTGGGAATGGTGCACATTACCCTTTTGCAATCTAGACTTGTATGTGTAAGTGATACCAGCAATGTAAAGACATTTGGAACAGATGTAGAGCAGAGTGTAAGCTCTCAAAAGAGACATGAAGTCTTAGTAGCTAAAGTTTGGGTTCTCATCAAGAGACAGCATTCCTGTGTGCTGCTTGGAAATAGAAAAGCATTTTAAACGTAATTGCTTTTTAATTTCATCTGAACATTTGGGGATGTTTCAGTAGAGAATATTTTTGTATATTTTAGGATTTGCCTAAGTTCATACACATTGTACTAGTTTCAAGAAAATATTTCAGGCAGCATCTTCTTACAGTGCATATTCTTTCATATTCACATTAGTTTGCAAAGACAGTATATACAATATGTGTGTGTGTGTGTGTGTGTATTTACATGTATGTATCCCTGTGCTTATATATGTGTGTGTGTGTGTGTGTATATATATATATATATATTTGTTGTTGTTGTTAAGTGCCATCGAGTCGGTTCCGACCCATAGCGACCCTGTGCAGGGTTTCCGAGGGTGTAAATCTTTACAGGAATAGAAAGCCTCATCTTTCTCCCGCAGAGCGGTTGGTAGTTTGGAACCGCTGACCTTAAGGTTCGCAGCCAGATTCATAACCACTA